AGAGCTCGCATGAAAGCTGAAGAAGAAGAAAGAGAACGGTCAAGACAAGAAGAAGTAGAAAGAAGAAGAAAAATGCAAGAAGAAGCAAGACAAAAAAAAAAAAAAAAAAAAAAAACAGAATGTGTATAATTATTAAACATCATTCAACTAGGCCGCTCGATCAGCGTCTACATTTTCCGAAAGTGCTTCACCAAGTAATAAAAAGAAATAGATTCATGACAACGAAAGCTCAAACTTTTGATTATAGGACGTAGTCAAATTCCCGTCCCTCCTCCCCCAATTTCTGCGACTCAAGGTAGAAATTACAACATGTAACATAGTAAAAACTGACATTGATTTACAATAGTGCCAAAGCAGGTCGTAGTACCACTCGATCCCAACAGTAAGCTTTATATATATATGACTTATAGTTCAGTAACCCTCATTCATGATCAGAGCCAGATCCTACAAAAACTCGTTGGTGGACAGACCGTACAGGTGCGTTCAAAGTCGAGGCTCAACTTGTTGCTTGTAGCAATGGTAAGATTAGGCTGTTTAAAACTAATGGAGTTAAAATCGATGTTCCTCTGGAGAAAATGTGTATCGATGATTTAAAATACGTTGAACAGGAAACTGGTCAAAAATTAGTAGAGGATAAAACTGACAATATACCGCTTGCACATCTTTCCAGGAAGTTCTCTTGGTTTGAATATTTTAAAAAGATGAATATGCCACATGACGCATCCAACCAATATGCGAGAGCATTTGAAAGAGAACGCCTAGGGGAAAAAGACATTGAACGTCTTACTTATGGAAAGATGAGGTCGCTTGGAATGTCAGAGAAACATATACGACGATTACAAAAGTTTATAGAGACAAATCAAGCTGAGCCATTATCAGACGATGAAACTACACGGCCAAAAATTAAGGTGAAGAAGAGCGTTACGTTTGGATCTGTCAGTATAATAGAGGATCATGCTGTAATCGAAGTCAGCGATGATGAAGATGAATATAACGATCATAATGTTTACGTGCAGAAACAGATTGAACAAGATGAAAGATTAGCTAGAATGCTTCAAGAACAAGAGAATCAGCAACAAACAAATGCCCATACTTCTGCACCTAGTGTTACTCTGCATAGAAGAGGTAAAAAAAGAAAAAAATAAAATCAGAACTGATTGCAAGTGTTGACTATTTGATTTTTAGGTACTGGAAGACCTACTCCATCTCATTCTGCTCCAAAAGGCGTTAACTCTGATGCATTTACAAGCAATCAGTTTAAATCCGAAATATTGAAACCTACTCCAGCCCCAGCTCCAATTCGACCACTTCAGCCTTCCCCTGTACAACATACAGCTTCACTGCCTCTTGGACAGCCATCACATACACCATCTAATACAGTGATAGCAGTAAACAAGTCCGGTTTTGAAGATGATGCATGGACACCAAGGTCAAGCCATTCACCGTCCATACAATCATCTGTTTTCACTGGCAACAACGTATCAAATAGTCCTAGTATCAACAGTGCAGCTCCACAATTACCTGCTCGGTCAAGGCCTACCCCACAAATTTCACAGCAGTCATCTGTAGATCCTCAGCTTTTAGCGAAATGGGGAGGAAGTCCTTCTCTTGCAGCTGCGAATCAGCAGCCAGTTCCCCCTATTCCTTCTGCACCAAAAAATAACAACGCTGTAGGATATAACCAAGCCAACTCTTTCAGTCATCAGAACAGTCTTCAACCAATTCAACAACAACAGCAGCAACAACAACAAGCTCGTCTTAGTCCTATCATGACAACTAACAACAGTTTTACAGGCACTTCGCCTTCAATGCAGTATCAACAGCCGACCCAGTTTGCTTCACAGTTTTCAACTTTACCACAGCACTCAAATACTCATGCAATCCACATTACTCCCTTACAACCTGCTCTACAGCCACCGCTTGTTCCTCAACCTACCACTAGTCCAGTATCTTCATATAATATGAACCCTGTGCAACCTCAGATGACAGCCTCGAGTACGATGACAAGCTCAACTGCTAGCAGTAGAACTTGGGCAAATGCAAGTAAGTGTTGATAGCATATATTCAAGGCCTAGTTCTAAATGTCTTGTAGCCCCTGATAATCCATTTGGCACCAAACCAGCAAACCACAATGCACCACTTATACACAGCCATAGTGCGCCTATACTTGTTGATAATAGCTTCCAACAACAAAGCTTCAATGCTTCAGGATATTCTTCAAACATAATAGACCCCACTGATAAATACTCTATCTTTAAAACTATTGATACCAATGCGCCCAGTATTCTTAAACCAGGTAATTAAACAATAAACGTTGGCATATAAATACATGTTAAACCGTTCCTTTAGCTGGCTCTTTCCAACAACAACAGCAACCGCAATCTCAGCATCAGCCCAGCTTTGTACAGATGCAGGCTCAACAGTATAACTCAATGTTTATGAATCAACAGCAACAACAACAGCGATGGTAGAGAAAACGCTCAAATAAAAATTAAAAAACATTTACTCTTTTTTCATACACATTCAACATGTATTCTTTATTCTTTAACTTCACCACAGTCAACAATCTTGATTTCTGCAGTGGTTCGACCGCTTTGAGTGCCGTGTTGTTCCAAGAGGTCAAGGATCTTACCACCTTCGACAAGTTGACCAAAAACAGTGTGGTTACCATCTAACCAAGGTGTATCAGCAAAAGTGATGAAAAATTGAGATCCATTGGTATTCTATTTGATGATGTGAATATTGAGCATACGTCTAATAGTTAACTTACGCGTCCAGCATTAGCCATGGATAAGACACCTCTTCCTCTGTGCTTCAAAGTGAAATTTTCGCTAAACAAAAAATGGTTTAGTAGCATGTTTATGAATATTTGCCTTTACACTTACTCGGGGAAAGTTCTACCATAGATGGACTCACCACCACGACCATCTCCTAAAGTAAAATCTAAAAGAAAAAAAAGAGGTTATTTACGATAAGTCAATAAAAGACCTTTACTTACCACCACCTTGAGCCATGAATCCAGGAATGATACGATGACTGACGACAAGGTCAATATGGTTTTAGTGGTTAAAGATGATATAAATCACTTACAAGGCGCTGTTCTTGTAATGTAAAGGCTTTCCGGCTAAACCCATGCCTTTTTCGCCTGTACAGAGAGCACGAAAGTTCTCGGCAGTCTTAGGTACAGTGTCAGCAAAGAGCTATACAAGGATATAAGTATATATTTTGAACAACATGTGTGAGTGCACACCTTGAAAGTCATACGGCCAGAAGGTTGACCATTGACAGCGACATCAAAGAAAACTTTAGGAAGATTCTTGGCGGCCATAGTAAGTATAATAAAGGAAAAGAAGAATCTGCAAGATGCGAGAGGTAATCCTTGTCAGTTCAAAGACAGTCACTGTATACAATTTTGATTCCCACAATGTTTCTATATACGGTACAATACGTGACAGCGGTATCCTCTCCAGAACTGCTGGCGTGTTCTCCGGTCGCGGCTACGCCGTTTCAGAGCTCAAGAGGTCCTCCATCGTTTCCTTAACTCACAAAGACCATTGAAAGTACTCTTCTGTCGCTGTTCTCACTGTCAACCATGTTCAACGTGATTGTGAAGCGCTTGTATATGCCGATTGGCACCCCATGCCTCCTCATTGTAGATATTGGCACAGCCCATCCCACGTAGTTGCAGACTGCCCTGTCAAGCTATGCCTTAGCAATTGCTACCACTGCAATGAGATCGGACATACGTCTAAGGAGCTGTCCTCGTCAGAACTCATCTGTCAATTCTACTGCTTCCAATAGAAACGCCCGTAAGTCTCCTGTTATTACCCATGTTCTCCTCCATGACAATCAGACAAAGAAACAAATTGTGGGAAACATCTTTACCTAATCTTCACCGGCTGTTCATCCTACTTTAGTCAATTCTTAGATTGATCTTCCTCAGCCAGCCTCTGATGCCTCTGCTATTTCGATTGTAACAGCCACTAGTTCTTCCTCTGCTTCACTTCCATCTAAAAAAGCAATGAATGTCCATCGAATGAGTGGAATGAAATCCCTGTTTCTACTCCTGAGGCTGTAAAGAACGAATCAATAAAGCTTGATAATGACGATATTTCTCATCACTAAAATGCTCCCTCTAATATTGACCCTGCATCAGCTCTTGACTCCCGTAATAGCTATTCAGATAGCTCTGGACACCCTAACCATCAATTCTCTGCCTTATGATGGATTATCACTCGTTAAAGCATGATAATCGGAACAATTCCTTCAATGCATCGACTATCTCTTCAAACTCTTCACGAACCTCTACTACTACCACTATCGCTACAATTCGGACATATAAAGAGAAGAACGATAACAACTACTACTTGAAGTGTAAGTACGATGATACTTTCATAATTCCTGCATCAAGAAATATATATTTAAATCAAGGATTATTTTAGCCAGAATCCAACGTCGAAAATAGCTCAAACTTTTCTACTGTCGTACAAAACAGCTTTTTATTTTTAAAATTACGCAAAAAAAAATCCGTAACCTCTTGTTATTCGGTGTGATAAAGTTCACCGTTTTGAACTTTATACTTTGGTGGGGTTTTTGTATTTGACCTTCTACTTTCGATTACATAACAATATAAGAGGTAACTCAATGTAAACAATCCGGCTACTAAAGCAGAAGCAATCAAGATAGGAATCAATAGCACCAAGGCAAAACCGATCGCTGTTATCACAAAAGCAGACCACACTGCACTAACGATGGTAGTCGTAATAAAAACAATAACTGTAGTAAATAACAAGAAAAGACAAACAGGAATAGCTGCTAGTAAAATAAAGAGGTATACACCTAATCTAAACTCTGGGCTATGTTTAATAGAATAAGTCACTTGTTGTTTATTTAATTCTTCACTTACAATTGCCAAAGAGCTTTATATGCAGCCGTTGCTGTACCACAAAAGTACAACAATTGCGTATAAAAAGTGAACATGGCATCCTTGAGATAGCTTATCTTTTCGTAGAGTTGTTGTTCAAAATGTGTGATGGATGACTTTTGCATTATAAACAAGTTTTTTTTTATGAAGAAGAAAAGGGCTTTTTTTAGAATTTTAATTTGTTTTTGTTGTAATGAAAAAGTCATTCATGTCATCTCCCAGGATTTCTGAGTTAGGCTTTCGTCATTTTTTTTTTGTTTTTATTAGTATCGTGTGTATCACTTTGAGCTCTAAACAAAGGCTTTTGAGATCATATCTTTTGATACATCCCCTATTATATGCAATTAATGTGTAATTCATATCACAGTGATGAGGTTGGGGTGTTTATAGGGTTTTCGTATTTTATCATTTGTCTTTTTTTTTTTTTCTTTA